CGAATGCTGAGACAAGTGAAGAGTACTGTCCATTGTTTGCTGTTAGCTTGACCGTCCCTGGTCCGTCAGGCAGACACAGACCAGGGGCCAAATACTTCGAGGCCTACATTGGTGAATAGTGGTTCGGAACTCAGGTGCTCGGGTGGTAGGTCAGCCATCATTTGGTGTAGAGTGTGACCCCATTGTTTGTGACAATGTAAGCAAGACTGCAGAACAGTTGTAATACATCTTTTGGCGCCTACGATCCAGAGTCCATTCACTTTGAGGGCACCTTCTGTGAAGTGGCAGCCTTGATGATGGATTGCTTCATGGTAGTGTTGTACTAACAGCCTTGTTACATGTTGGTTAGCAGGAAGGATGATGGGGTGCTTGGTGTATGAGTCCATTTCTGCTTTGTGTAGGCGACCTCCTACGCGAAGTACCTCCTGGTTGTCGAGGTATAGGGTCAGTCTCAGAAGTGGACTACATTGTGGTATGGGCTTCCCTGCACTCAGGCATCTGTATTCCGACACATATGCCTCTTTTTGTACACTTCTCAATATTAGTCTCTCAGCATGAGTATAGTGGTCTGGGAAGTATGACTTGAAGTCTTTCCGAAGACCAAGGAGACGGACGACTGTGCGGATGACCACAGTCATTCCCAGTATGAGAGGTTTCCATTGGGAGAAGCGTTCAAAGCGAGCAGGTTTTAAGGGGCTTTCCTTCTCACGTTCAACCGTTGTTGCCAGGCAGACGACCAGAGGGGCGACCGGTTTTACATTCTTGACTAGCGGTCAAATATCGCCATCATTGTTTGGATCTAGGAGTTCATACAAACCGGTTTTCCCTGGCTCCAAGGCATCTGTACGCCACAAGAACTTGGGGCCTTTGAGCCAGGTAGAAGTTGATAACTGGGATGCAGGAATAGACCTTGTCGCATGACCTGCAAGGTTCTGGTCTGTTGGAACATACTGCCACTGCACAGGTTCAGAAGATCTCCTGATCCGTTCAACTCTGCTATTCACATAGACGTAGAAGCGCCTACTCTTGTAGATATAATCCAGTACCACTCTGCTGTCTGTATAGAAGGTGGTGGGTTCTAAGGAAGATCTATCATCTTCGTTATCGTGTCTGATAGTTCTGTGGCCAGCGCAGCTCCACAAAGTTCCAGCCGTGGTATAGTATGACCTTTTTGCAGTGCTAGTTTTGCTTTTCCCATGACGAATCCAATATACACGTTGCTCTCCCCGCCGTAGACTTTAAGGTATGCCACGGCTGCTACTGCCTTTGTTGACGCATCTGAGAAAATGTGCAGTTCCTTTCTTTGTGCCGTGGTGGGCGAGATGGGAACATACGTGTGCTGTAGGTGAATGTTGTGGAGACAGCATAGAGAGTTGCACTATGTCTCCCATTCTTGTTTCTGCTCTGGTGGGAGGGTTTCATCCCAATCTTTGGTGTTTTGGGAGTGTGTGCGCAATAGGATTCTACCTTGAATGGTGATGGGAGCTGCAAACCCTAAAGGATCGAACAGGCTGTTAACTGTTGAGAGCACTCCTCTCCTCATGAAGCCAGTCTTTAGGGCTGGGGTTTTGAAGGTGAAGAAGTCTTTCTTCAAGTCCCAACACAAGCCGAGACTGCATTGGATAAAGGGGGCGTCGCTGCCGAAATCGCCTTTAGTACTTCTTCACTATTGGACGCTATCTTGTGTCGCTTGAGGTTGGCCGTCCCTAGCATTTGTTGTGTGTTCTTCAAGAGGCCTATGGCCTCCGCTGGGGTGGCTACCGATTTCAAGCCTTTGTCTACGTAGAAGTCGTGTTCTACAAAGCGTTGAGCTTCTGCTCCGTATTTGTCTCCTCCCTCTTGAGCAGTACGTTGGAGACCATAGTTCGCAATTTCAGGGGAGGAGCCGTTGCCAAATACATGCACCCTCTTTCGGTATTCAGAAATCCGTTGGTTGTTTTGATCATCACTAAACCACAGGAAGCGGAGGTAGTTATGGTGATCTTCCTGTACGAAGAATGAATAGAACATCTGCTGTAAGTCGGCCATAACTGCTATGGCTTCTTTTCTAATATTTGTAAATCACATCATAACTGCAAAGCAAACCTTTTCATTAAGCTGTTTGTTAGCCGCCCATTGTATATATTCACACAGGTTACTTTTTGATCATCCATGATTGGTCTCCGGTTTAATCAGGTTTTGTGTCCTTCCTTATTCTGTCTCAGAATTGTCCAGGTCTCTGTTCTATTCCACTGTTCTACTCAGCCGTCTGGAGTTTTCTATTTCACGTGCTCAATTTAGATGATGTGTCTGTATCAATCAGTGTTCGGTGTAGTTTTGTTGTGTCCTCATTTCTTTCTCCTGCTGCTGTTCCTATTTTCTGGAAGGTAATGCCCCATTAGAATATTTGAAGCTAATTCAAAACTTTCCCTTACTATTGGCTCAGTTCAATTTTCTTCAAATAGAGAGTAATCTTTCACATCCCTCAGAACTTTTTATTTGACTTCCAATGTTCAGAAAACCTTTTTATTTCCTCTATCCTCAAATCAGGTACCTAAAATTAGCTTCCAGGCTGTTAAATTTGTTTCCACTCTCTGCCTAAAGAGAAGACCAAGTGTTGTAGCAGTTCTGAATTTTATATCTTTATAAAATGATATATTTATTGCAGAATTACAGAATAAGAATTGGAAGGGACCTTGGAGGTCTTCTAGACCAATCCCCTGCTCAAGCAGGAGATCCTATGCCATTCTGGACAAGTGGCAGTTCAATCTCTTCTTAAAAACCTCCAGGGATGGAGCACTTGCAACTTTTGGAGGCAAGCTGTTCCACTGATGAATTGTTATCACTGACAAGAAATTTCTCCTTTATTCTAGGTTCTCTATTGGAGAAGCTTCATATAACTTATATGTTTATAATTTATATCTCCTTTATATCTTCTTCAGAAATGCAAGGGTAGCACTATTGTCATTTTGACCCAGTGATTTATTTTATTTATTTATTTTGCAAACTTTCCCACTTCTCCCTCCCCTCCTCCACTTTAATCCAGTAACTCTGGGTGAGTAACAAAGCATAAAAACAGAAACCTATATATGAAAACAGCAAAAAAAAAAAAAAAAGCCAACAAAAGATGACCAACAAAAACTATCAACTCATCAAAACAGTTAAACAGTGCAGGTCAAAACACACACAATGGGTTCCTCTAGCATTCCGACTTTGAAGCCAGAGAGAAGAATTAGGTTTTTTTTTTTTTTATCAACTGTGTTGGGGCAATCTGAACCCCAGGGGAGTGGGAGGGGCTGTTTCATAGGAAAAGCTTTCATAAAATCTAATTTGATTTATACCTCTAACTTCCCCAGCAAGATAAATGGAAAACTTTCATCATGTCCAGCATTTTCTCCATCTTCCTCCATTCATCTGGGGATTCTATTTTGTTTAACTAGCTTGGATTTCTTTTTGGGGAAATTTGAAAGCATGCTCATTCTTCTGTAGCAGTAATTAACTTTCATAATATTGCACTATTGTTAGCAACCCCTCTGGGCAAGACACTTCTCCAAGGGAGATGAATTTCATAACGTCAGCTTATTTTTAACAGAGGCAGAAGTGTTGATACATTTTGCTTTTTAATCTCTTGACATCCCACCATGATGGGGCTCTATTCATAAGTGCATGCTCCAGAAGGCTGTATAATGAGCTGCTGTTGAAAGAAGTGAGATTTGTCATCATGCATCACTCTGCAGGGATTGTATGTGCAGAATAGGTTGCCCAAGTATGGTGAATACAAACACGTTTTTAATCAAATGGTTCAGCATATAAACTCATGTAAACCTCAAGGATCTGACTGAGGCATAAGCAGTTTACAAATACTTGGAGGCTGTTTTTCATTGTGTACTCCATCAGAGCAAGCATCATTTTTACCCCATCAGCTGGCAAGAATTAAGATACAGTGGTTAAAATAACAGTAACAACAACATATTTTATCAAAGCTGTTGGTCAGGCAAAAAGTATAATGATGAAGATTTGGGTTGGCACCAGAGAGGTTCAAGGTCAAATTTCTGGTAGTTAGGTAACTGGACCAGTCTCCTCTCCTCTCCTCTCGCCTCAAACCAAGCTATCTCACAGGAAACGAACTAAAACTGGCCTAACCCCCTTTTGAAAATTTCCCAAACCCTGAAAGAATTACAGCTCCTTCAATCCGATCTATGCTTTTGAACTGAATTCATTCTACTCTTCTCTCCCTATCTTCCCACAAATATCAAATATTTTTTATTGAAACCCAAACCATGGATTTCTGTGGTTTCCTAGTTGTTTCTTCTTAGCTACAGCATTTCATCCTTTATGCAATTATGGCAATATAATAATTATATGCTTGAAATACAAAAGAACGTTGTTATCTACAATGCACAATGCTCTTCGGTTTTTTTGTTTTCTTTTGGTACATTTTTCTGTATAGATAGGAACATTCTGAAGCAAGTGGATTTTTTAAAAAAAATTCTATGAAAATAATGAGTCCAAGGAGCATCCTTGTAAATAAAGATGTCCCATGCATGTGCTTGGCTTTGCAGAATGCTCAGTTCTATATTTTTGTATCAAAGAACAGATGAAGCAAAGATCATGGCAGAAACCAAGTGATGCCAGTAGTAACATCTTCTGATATGTCTTAAGAGTCTTCAGTTTTCTACTCCTGTAAATGGAATAAAAATAAATAAATATGATCTCATTAGGCATTTATGATCACATGCCAACCGCTTAAGTCAGGGGTGTCAAACTCATGGCCTGCGGGCCAGATGTGTCACTGGCCACGCCCACCCCCAATTTAGTGAAGGAAGGGAAAGTTGCGATATGGCACGTGACGTGTCATCGTGAGTTTGACACCCCTGGCTTAAGTAACTGAATAAGATTTGAACAAGAGAGCATTATATCCATTGCTCTATTTCTGTGTAGCTAAACCTGCTTTATAAGCAACATTTATTGGTTTTCACTTATTAAAACATATTACATCCAGAATTCTTGTTTCATTCCAGTCTTGTTGATGCATGGAGAGAAGATATTGGAGTCTCTCCCCTGACATTTCCATCAAAAACCTGTTTGGAACTTCTGTTGATACTATCTCAGAGTAATGCTTCGTTGCCTCCTTCTCTTCGCTGGATGAATTCTTTCCAGGTAAAGAAATCATGTTCTTTCACATCATATTTTAATATTGCAAGAATAAGCTTTGGAATCTAGATCTTTATCCAAATGGAATAGTTAATAATAGCAGATGTTTCATTGACCTTTCTTTGCTCTCTTCGTTTAGTACCCAATTATGGATTGAATAAATCATTTTTATCCATTTTCATGCACACAACGGAAGATAATATATGAAGCTGAAGGTAGTGTTGTGTTCACCTATTTAACTTGCTGAAAATGTTACATTTTTTTCCCTCCTTTGTGCAAGATGTGTTGGTGATTCTTCTCTGCCCTTTGAGTGATGCTCACCACCATCAGTCATACGGCATTGTCTTGGAATGTGCTCTTGGAAGATAAATTTCCAAAGCTCCGGTTACTCATTGTGTTGGGGCAATTCCTTTCTGTTCTATCTACTTCACTTCATAAACGGATAAAGCCCAAAAATCCAATGAATTCATCATGCTTGTGGGCATATCTTTTTTCCACTGGAGAGACTTATCTGCCACACTTTAGCCATAATTAGTATTTCTACTGATCAATTTAATCTAATTTAATAGCATGCTGTAATGATCCTTGCTACTGAAGGAAAGCTCCCAAGTGCAGTTTTGCTGACATACTACCTGTATGTTATATTACTGCTAAGGGGGCATGATGACTTGCTCAAGGGAAGTACTAATACCACTCTATAAAGCCTTAGTAAGATCACACCTAGAGTCCTGCATCCAGTTTTGGTCACCACATTATAAAAAAGATGTTGAGACTCAAGAAAAAGTACAGAGAATAGCAACCAGGATGATTAGGGGACTGGAGGCTAAAACATAAAATGAATGGTTGCAGGAACTGGGCTTGGCTAGTCTAGTAAAGAGAAGGACCAGGGGAGACATGATAGTGGTCTTCCAATGTTTGAGGGGCTGCCACAGGGAGGAAGGGGTCATGCTATTTTCTAAAGCTCCTGTAGGCCAGACAAGGAATAATGGATGGAAACTGAACAAGGAGAGATTTAACCTGAAAACAAGGAGGAACTTTCTGACAGTGAGAACAATCAACCAATGGAACAGAAATTGCCCTCGGAAGTTGTGGGAGCACCATCAGTTGAGACTTTCAAGAAGAGATTGGACTGCCATTTGTCAGAAATGGTGTAGGGTCTCCCGCTTGGGTGGGGGGTTGGATTAGATGAGCTACAAGGTCCCTTCCAACTCTGATTATCTGACTCAGTGGTTAAAAACGATAAGCTTATCAGCAGGAGACCTGACAGCTCAGGTTCGACACCCAAGGACTGTGTGATGGAGTGAACTCCCATTACTTGCCCCAGCTCCTGCCCACCTAAGCAGTTCAAAAGCATGCAAATACATATAAGTATCACTTTGTTGGGAAGGTAACAGCTTTCCATCCCCGGCATGTAGTCATGCTGGCTAGATGCCCTTAGGAATACTTTCGGACAATCTTTTTTCAAATATTTTCGGTGACATACTGCCCGCTAGAGTTGGATGCGACTGGAAAAGTAGTAAAGTACCTTTACTACATGCTATTGAATCCCTGGGGGTCCCAAAGTCAGGGAGCCAAGTAGAGTTCTGATAGAGTATGATGAACCTCAATTTATTCCTCTTCAGGGGAGAGGCTTAATTCCGTTTCCTCTATTTTAGGAAAGCCATCAACCCTGTCTCAGTTGGAGGATGTAGCCTTCCAATCACCTGATAGTGTTTCTAATCGAAACCATTTGGGAGAAAGAGTCAGCACCAAGATATTGGAGTGGGGAAAGGAAGTCTGTGGCTCTTTAAGGTTTCTTAAAACTTTACTTGAACAGAAACAGGAGCTGGGACAATAATTCTTAAAATAAGTATTAATTCAACTTGTACTTTCTTACTTGAGCTTTATTCTCTGCCAGAGCCCAGGTCTTGCAAACAAGCTAGAGGACTATCTCAGGTTTTCCCCTATCTCATTCTCACAGGATTCATTCATTCATTCATTCATTCCACCCATCTTACCTCAAGATAACTCTGGGCCTACTAGAATGCCATCTGAACTTTGTTTTCTTTATAAACTTTGTTTATAAAGAAAACTCTGAACTTTGTTTTCTTTATAGCCATAATTAGTATTTCTACTGATCAATTTAATCTAATTTAATAACATGCTGTAATGATCCTTGCTACTGAAGGAAAGCTCCCAAGTGCAGTTTTGCTGACATACTACCTGTATGTTATATTACTGCTAAGTTCTGGCACCAGATGGTAAAGGAAAGAGTGCATTTGTCAATTTATTTAAAAAGCACTTTACCTCTTGCAATGTTTGGGAAAATTCTTTTGCAAACTACCCCAAAAATGTACAAATATCACTGTGTTATTTATAGTAATGAGTTACTGACTTTAACAAAACCCCAGGTTCAAATAATAAAAGATACATTCTGGATATTTTATCTGAGGTCAGTGTGATTTCTGTTTCAAGCAGAAATAATAATTCTCTATTCTATTTGACCCTTTGAATATCACTGTTTAAGGAGGGGGATAGGTACCTCGATATGCTTGCATAATAAAATGCTGAAGTTGCCATGGCTGGCTTGAGGGAGGAACTTTTCCTATAAATGCAAGATTCAGATAGGAAGGTTGTTTGTAAAAGAATATCCCCGCTAGAGTTGGGGAAAAGTCACTCCGAGGAGTCATTCTGTTAAATTGGATAATAATAATAACATCAGATTGCATTTTTTGGTCTTATTCTATTTTGAAAATATATAAGTTCTATGAATCTATAGATTATAAGACATTTTCTTTCATGCAAAGCACTGGGATACAAAACTCTGCTATTAGCCAACATACATGTGTGTGTGTGTGTGTGCGCACGTGCGGCGCGCATGCATGCGTACACATACACACACACACACACCATTCCAGTGACTTTACATTTCTTGCCTGAAAGGGCTAATGTACCATGTACATTTTCTGTTATGAACAGCTTAAAGAGAAACCAAAAGTATAGCCTTTGGAACATTACATTTTTCCCTCCCCCACACCTAGTTTTATGTACCCAGAAAAGAAAACATCAGTGGTCTATTTAATTTCAGCAATCCCTGTTTCACTTTGAAGCCTTCAGAGTTAATGTTAATGACAAATACTAAAGTGAAATTCTTGCTTTTCCCCTGACAGGAATGTTAGAGAAATGTGTTAAGTTGTCTGATGTATCATTGTAAAAATTCAATCTCTGAAAAGATTTGTGCTTGAGTTCTTGTTTGTTTTGGTTTTCTGTCGCCCTGATGTCAGAGAAAGCAAGGTAACTCTGGCAAAACACCCGCAGAATGTGTTTGTGTTTTCATGTGTTTGCTTATCTTGTCATAAACATTGAAGCTTAATTCTTCTAGAATCACTTTGTTAGGCTGAGAAGTTTACCAGTTTAATTAATATGCCTGGAGATTTTCTATACTATTACATATTTTATTCACTCTAAACAGAAATTTCATAACTAAATGTTATTTGATAAAATATATCACAGACATAGAATTAGAAAAAAGAAAATTGAGCAACGATTGGGAAGGGTAGAGATATTTTGTGGTGATGTTTGGGAGTGTAGATTCAAAAGTAGGGCTTTAAAAAAATGTTCTTAATAAACTGGTTCAGTTTGGACTCCTGCTTTTCTTTCTCCTTCATTTGTTGCATGTTGCAATGGGAAGTGAAAAAGTTCTTGAGAGACAGGGTGAGAAAATGCTGCCTAGGGAAGGATCAGATAAGAGATGGCATAGCCCACAGCCCCACAAAGGATGGAGAAGAAGGCACAGAAAGGACCTCTCTAGCTTCTCAAATTGTAAAAGAGATGGTGAGGGATTTGTACTTTCAGATATGCAAGATTCCGTTAATGTAAGCTTTACAATAAATTAGAATTGGCTCATTTGGTCATATTTCTTGTCTGGTCTACCTGGGCAGTCCAATACTTGTTGACTTTACTTCCAAGACCCTACCTGGTATTATATCACCATTCCTTTTATATCCAACTGAGAAACTCAGTAAATGCTTATTAACAAACCAGGAGAGGGGAATTCTGAATGCAAGTTCAAATCTTAACCCCAAACCAAGGAACAGGAAGGAAAAGAGTGTATCCTGGGTCACACATTTTCATCAGCAAATATTATTTTTTTGGAAAGCCATCTGAATAGCAGTCTTTTTTATATATATATTGTCCTTGAATGTTCCCAGGGAGGCCAAACTGGATACGAGCACATGTCCTATAACACAGAGGAGTTGGAATATAATCTTGTGAATGCAGGCCCTTTATTCTGAGGAAGAGATTCCACAGCCACATCTCAGGCTGTTTCTTTTTCAACATGTATCAGCATGTCAGTTTCAAGAGGAACAGTCTGAAATTTGGCAGAAGGCAGTCTACCTAGTCCTTCCTGTCATGTGGTGCCAGCAAAACTCACGACTCTGATTCTCCGTTGAATGCACGTCCAGAACCAGCAAGGTTTCCCTGACGTAGCTTTCTTCTCTATTGTCTGTTGATGCAAATGACTTGAAATCATAAGCAAAACATTAACATACAGAGCTTTTTCATGTAATGTTCTGGTTTATAAAGTTGTTCCAACTTCTATAAAATCCCATCATTTCTAATTTAAAAATGGATATCCTCATTAAAAAAAAATCTTTTGTGAATATTTCAAGCCCCAGAAAAAAAGAATTAGGGTGGGGTTTTGGAGGCCAGTGCACCCAATGCTCCTTTATCAAGCATAAAAAACAAAAAAACTTACCTTATACCAATAAATACCTCTAAGGTTTTACTGAAGTGTGGTCTTTATAAATGAGCAGATGTGTTTAAAGATTCTTCAGATTTTAAAGGATATGGCCCTCTCTCCCCCACCCATTTCCATTTTTTTTTAAAGAGACAAAACTGCTTTTCTGAAACACCATCCCATAAGGATGAGTTCAAGAGATGATCTGGTTTCTGAAAAACCAAGTGACACATAGTTGATGAGTTTTTTTTCCCCCTGAAAGAAAATGTGCAATATTACTGAGACT